GGCCGCCCACCTGGACATGCAGTCAGTCTGCCGACGCGCTGCTACCAGGCTCAACATCCCTTGGCCCACCGTGGTCACTGAGGCTGTCAGATCCCGCTACGAGGGAAAGAAGCTGCCTCAGGCCACAAGAGCGGCAAAGCCCCTCCTTCCCGCCTTCCCGGAGCTTCTCCAAGAAGTGAGGTCCTCCTGGGACAAACACCCTTTCAGCTCCAGGTCTCCTGTCCAAGGAGCCTCCTCGCTGGACTTCGAGGGGATGGAGAAGGCTGGCATGCTTCGCATGCCGCCGATGGAACCGCTGGTTGCAGCCCACCTGCACCCACGGCTCTCGGCAACTTCCTCCAGGCCTCCCGCTCTCCCCGCGAAGGCGGACCGCTTCCTGTCGGCGCTGAACGAGAGAGCGTACAAGGCTGCCGCCATCTCGGTCCGAGCTTTGAATGTCTCCTCCATGCTCTCGGCGTACCAAGCCGAGCTCTGTGAGGACATGAATACGAAGCCGGACCCGGAGGTGTGGGAGGAAATCACCGTACTGACCGACATCTGCCTGCGTGTGCAGCGCTGCGCGGTCCAGGCCACGGGAAAAGCTATGGGCATGATGGTGCTTCAAGAACGTGCACGATGGCTGAACCTCTCCAACCTCTCTGATAGAGAGAAGGAGGACATTTTGGACATGCCAATCGTGCCTGAAGGCATTTTTGGCTCTGCCCTGGCATCAATGCAGCAACGGTGTGAGGCCAAAAAGAAAGAGGATGAAGCCCTTCATCTCTGCCTTCCCCGTAAGCCCTCACCGGCGCTGCCGGCTCGGCCGAACCTTCCTCAGGCGGCTGTCCGAGCCCAGCCTCAGTTCTGGATCCCAAAGCGCCCGAAGCCTCAAGCTGTCCAACCAGCTCCTTCGGGCTCAGCGCCTCGACCAGTTTGTCCTCAGAGATCCGGCAACCAAGCCGCTCCGCCGTCGGGACAACCCACCCGACCCGGCGGTCAGCAGGTGAGGAAGAAGAAGAGGGCAGCCTGACGGAGTTCTTTCCCTCCAGACACTGCAGCTGGCAGTTCCCTGTTCGCCAGCTCCTCCTGTTCGATGTTGCCATGGTGCCTTCTCCCCCCCTCACGGAACCCCTCCGGCAGAGTCCCCGAGCGGTCCAGGGTGGGGCCAGGACGTGCAGCCGGCTGTGCCGGCTCAAAACACACGTCACAAGCACTCACATTGTTTTTCACAAACATGTCACGCTCAAGGAGCATTAAAAAGTTCGCTGCCGCATCCAGACAAAATGTCAAGGGCGCAGCACAAATCAATAAAAATGTTGCCCATGAGCGGTTCCAGGCGGGGGCGGCCCCTGGCGGACTTACCCGCCAGGCACGGGTCGTCCCCGTACGCCTGGGCCGTCAAAGCACAAAGCCCCCGCGCATGCGCAGTGGTTGCCACGAGCACCGCTGCCCCACAACCTCTTGAGGGAGCTGCTGCTCCGTGTGTCACGGCTGTGTCACCGCTCTCTACTCACATGGAGGAATGGACAGCGGTTTCTGCTTCACATTGGGTGCTGAGAACTATTTCGAGAGGTTACAGGCTCCAATTCGCTTCTGTTCCTCCTCGATTCTCCGGCGTAGTGTTCTCCCACGCCCAGGGGACGTCAGCTCACATCCTTTAGGGAGAAATCTCCTCCCTGCTGGAGAAGGGAGCGATATGCATTGTGCCTCCCGATCGGTCTCAGAGCGGTTTCTACTCCAGGTACTTCCTGGTCCCGAAACGGGGAGGGACCGGGATTCGCCCGATCCTGGATCTGAGGGCCCTGAACCGATGCCTCAGAAAGTACAGATTCAAAATGCTCACGCTCTCATCCCTTTTGCGTCTGATTCACCAGAACGACTGGTTCACCTCAATCGACCTGAGGGACGCATACTTTCATATTCCCGTGTACCCTCCACACAGGAAATTTCTGAGGTTTGCCTTTCAGGGAGTGTGTTATGAATACACCGTGCTCCCATTCGGCCTCTCGCTGAGCCCGAGGGTGTTTGTCAGGTGTACGGAGGCAGCGATCGCCCCTCTGAGAGGGAGGGGCATTCGGCTGGCCACGTATTTAGACGACTGGCTCCTGCTGGCACGGTCCAGAGAGGAGGCAGCGTCAAACACGCTGGTTGTGATCCATCACTTGTGTGGTCTGGGTTTCAGAATAAACTGGCAGAAAAGCGCTTTACTCCCCTCCCAGAAAATAACCTTTCTAGGTCTGAATCTGGACTCAGGGGCGTTCACGGCCCGTCTCTCGACACCGCGCATGAACGCGCTCTCGCTCTGCCTGGCGCGCTTCCGCCTACACAGTTCGGTGCGGTTTGCGTTATGCCTCAGGCTTTTGGGTCTCATGGCGTCGGCTATTTCAGTGGTACCACTCGGCTGTCTGATTTTCAACGCTGGGTGGCTTCTCTGGGTCTCTCTCCAGTGCGCCACAGAGCGCGCAGGGTGACGGTCTCTGCAGCGTGCGTCGCGGCGCTCCGCTGTTGGCGTCACCCCTCCCTCTTGGCACAGGGGGTGCCTTTGGGGTTGGTTCTCGTGAGGAAAGTGGTCACGACAGATGCGAGCCTGTCAGGTTGGGGGGGGGGCTCCTGGAGGGTCGCTCTGTCAGGGGTGTGTGGAGCAGAGAGCTCTGGGGGACACACATAAATTATCTGGAACTCCTCGCGGTCTTTCTAGCCCTGAGGCGCTTCCTGCCTTTTCTCTCCGGCCATCATGTCCTGGTGAGAACAGACAACACCACGACTGTGGCTTATATAAACCGCCAGGGGGGGCTGCGCTCCGTGCGGTTACACACGCTGGCACGCAGACTGATCCTATGGTGCAGCAGGCATCTCCTCTCAATCAGAGCCACCCACGTCCCGGGTGTTCTGAATCGGGGGGCGGATCTGTTGTCCAGAGGGACACCCCTGTACGGGGATTGGAGCCTGCATCCAGCAGTGTTGGAACAGATTTGGATCCGGTTCGGCAGAGCCGTAGTGGATCTTTTTGCCTCCAAGGAGAATGCTCAGTGTCCTCTGTTCTTCTCCCTGCGCGACCGAGACGCTCCACTCGGCGTGGACGCGCTGGCGCACGACTGGCCACGGGGACTGCTTTACGCTTTTCCCCCAGTGGCCCTGATACCACCCACCTTGCTGAGGGTACGAACCCAGCGCCACACTCTCATTCTGGTGGCCCCATACTGGCCAGCCATGCATTGGGTGGTGGACATTTTCCAGCTCCTGGAGGGCCAACCTTGGAAACTGCCGCTTCGCAGGGACCTGGTGTCCCAAGCGGGAGGCTCGATCTTCCACCCTCATCCAGAACGGCTGGCCCTGTGGGCCTGGCCCCTGAGGGGTGTGGGCTAGTGTCAGCAGAGCTGCCCCAGGCAGTCATTCGAACCATTCAGAATGCTAGGGCCCCCTCCACTAGGTCCCTATATGACTGTAAATGGAAGGTGTTTGAAGCCTGGTGTCAGGGCAGGGAGGTCTCACCCTTCCAATGCCCGGTGAACGTCATTCTGTCTTTCCTGCAAGACTTGTTGGATGGGAAGAAGGCTTTCTCCACCATTAAAGTGTACCTAGCAGCCATTTCCGCCCGACACTTGGGTTTTGGGAGGAAATTGGCAGGTCAACACCCCCTGGTGTGTAGCTTCATGAGGGGCGCGCGCAGGCTTCTCCCTGTGTCCCGACCCCTGGTGCCCTCATGGGATCTGTCCTTGGTGCTGTCGGCCCTCTCCGGGCCTCCATTTGAACCTATGGACGGCCTGGACCTTAAGATCCTGTCTCTTAAGGTGGTGCTACTCCTGGCTTTGGTATCTGCAAAGCGAGTTAGTGACTTACAGGCTCTCTCTGTGCACCCATCCTGCACCCAGTTTGCACCAGGTGACATGAAGGTGTCCCTGAAGCCCAACCCTGCCTTTGTGCCTAAGGTGGTGGGCTCCTTTTCTCCTATTATCCTCACAGCTTTCTACCCGCCACCCTTCTCCTCTCCTGAGGAGGAGCGGTGGCACAAGCTGTGTCCGATTCGCGCGCTCAAGGAGTATGTGAATCGGACGGAGAACCTTCGCAGGGGGGACCAGCTTTTTGTGTCATGGGGTGGGCCTCGTAAGGGGAAACCCATCACAAAGCAGCGGCTTTCCCACTGGATTGTGGAGGCTATTTCTATGGCTTACTCCTGTCAGGGCATTCAGGCACCTGTTGGGCTCAGGGCCCATTCTACTAGGGGCCTGTCTGCTTCTTGGGCCCTTTTTCGGGGGCTGTCAATCCAGGAGATTTGTGCTGCAGCAAGTTGGGCTTCTCCACTTGCATTTGCACGCTTCTATAAGCTTGATGTTTCGGTCCCTGCAATGACTCACACGATTCTGAGTGTGGGGTCTTTGGCGGGCCAAGACGTATCCCTGTAGGTTGGTGATCGCTGGATAAGCTGTCTGGCAATACGGGAGTCTCCATATCCCATAGTGAGACATCGAAACGATTGTTAAGAAAGAGAACTTTAGGTTACTATCGTAACCCCGGTTCTCTGAGTAACATGAGTGAGATGTCTCACCAGACAACCCTTCTTGCTGGGCGAAGCGAGAAGAGGTGTTTATCTTGAATAGTGCGTGCGTGGGGACGCTTGCTACTTATAGTAGCAGGGGGACGCGTACGTCACGGTCACTGGCCAATCAGGATTGGCGTATTGAGATAAGTGCTTCTGAGGAATCCGCGGAGGGGCGTATCCCATAGTGAGACATCTCACTCATGTTACTCAGAGAACCGGGGTTACGATAGTAACCTAAAGTTTTCTCAAGTTTCAGGTTTTTATTTGGAGTAAGGTGTAGTTGAAGTGAAAGTCATTGCTACTACTGATGAGTTTTAGTTGTGTCCAACTGAATAATAATTCATCTAGAATAGTTTTATTTATGTTCTTGAAATTCTTTCTTTGGTAACTTTAATTTATTTTCCTTCCAGTGTTGCTTCTGCCATACGTCTGTCATTCCTCCAAACAAAGTCACTATTTTTCTGATTAATTTTTTTTCTAGGGCCTTCTATCATTTCTGAGTGCTCCTCTGATTGGTGCATTGTCAGACGTGTGGGGACGCAAGTCCTTCTTGCTGCTAACGGTCTTCTTCACATGTGCACCTATTCCACTGATGAAGATCAGCCCATGGTGAGCGCTAAATACAACTGCATGTATACCTTATTTTTAGGGTATTGTTTCTTGTTGCTTGAAACATTTATTCCCAAAATTTTACTAGATTAAAAAAGAAGGTACTGCAGCGGAATTCTAAACATAAATCACGGCAGAAAAAATGGAATTTACGATAGTAATTCACTCTATTTGTGTTTCCAGGTGGTACTTTGCAGTCATCTCCATGTCTGGTGTTTTTGCCGTCACCTTCTCTGTGATCTTTGCCTACGTGGCAGACATCACACAAGAGCATGAGAGGAGTACAGCATACGGTTTGGTGAGGAAATGCTTGAAATAGTTAATGAAAGCTCCTGACTTCTCAGAATTCTGATGATGTCCTCTTCCTGTTTTTCTGACCTCTTTAATTACATTTCTCCCAGGTATCAGCTACTTTCGCAGCCAGCCTGGTTACCAGCCCAGCCATCGGAGCCTATCTGTCTGAGAATTATGGCGACACGTTGGTGGTGATCCTGGCCACGGCCATCGCCCTCCTTGACATCTGCTTCATCCTGGTGGCCGTACCCGAATCGCTGCCCGAGAAAATGAGGCCAGCATCGTGGGGAGCGCCCATCTCCTGGGAACAGGCAGACCCCTTTGCTGTGAGCAGTAACTTTCTTAAAAGATGAACTCAGTTGTTTTAAATGGTCACATGTTTTCTCCCAGGTATCTGTTCTGTCCTGTGCGATTTTATATTATCGACCACTAGGGCTGCAACAATGAATCGATAAATTCGATGAAAATCGATTACTAAAAGCGTTGGCAGCGAATTTTGTCATCGATTCGTTGTGTTGCACAACTCTTCCAAAAGCCCCCCCCCTCCCCCTCCCCTCCCGCCCGCCGTTGCGCGCAGACCGGAGAGCCGGCAGGTGTTTGGAAGAGGAACATGGCAGAAGCAGCGAGACCCAAAAAAAGTAAAAACTTCTAAAGTTTGGGAGCATTTTCAGTTAAATCAGGCGAAGACATTCGTTACCTGCAACGTTTGTAGGTCAGACTTAGCATGGCACGGGAGTACTACAGTGATGATGCAGCATCTTAAACGCAAGCATGTCAGAATCATCAGCGAGGAAGGAGAGAGCTCGGTGTCCGGGTAAGTTAAAAACTTTTCTAAAGTGACTCACCCAAGCCCCGGATTATTACACAGGCTAGACATGCCCTAAGCTCGTAAAAAAAAACTCGGTACCACTTTACAATAAGGCTCCCTTATAAATGGCTAATAAATGGTTTATAAATGTCTTATTAATCAATCTATAATGCCTTATATATGACTAATAAACATTTATTATGCATTAATTAAGGGTGAAAAAGACTAAACTTACTAGTTTCTTGCCAAATAGTGAACCAAATCTGTTGACTTATGTACTTTATCTAGACTTCATATATTAAACATTTCAAACTAAGAAACTACCTTTTAAGCACTATTAGCATTTGTAAACAAGGTTTTGGGCAACTAATAATGTACCTTATAACTGCATTATAAATACTTACAATGATTAAAGGGAGGCTTATTGTAAAGTGTAAAATATGTCTTTATTCATTAATAGTTAATAAACATTTATAAATGCAAACTGGAGCCTTATTGTAAAGTGTAAAACATGTCTTTATTTATTAATGATTAATAAACATTTATAAATACAAACTGGAGCCTTATTGTAAAGTGTAAAACATGTCTTTATTTATTAATGATCAATAAACATTTATAAATACAAACTGGAGCCTTATTGTAAAGTGTAAAATATGTCTTTATTTATTAATAGTTAATAAACATTTATAATTACAAAAGGGAGCCTTATTGTAAAGTATAAAACATGTCTTTATTTATAAATGATTAATAAACATTTATAAATACAAACTGGAGCCTTATTGTAAAGTGTAAAATATGTCTTTATTAATAGTTAATAAACATTTATAATTACAAAAGGGAGCCTTATTGTCTTCGTCTTCGTCTTCCTCCGCTTATCCGGGTCTGGGTCGCGGGTGCAGCATCCCAATTAGGGAGCTCCAGGCCGTCCTCTCCCCGGCCTTGTCCACCAGCTCCTCCGGCAGGACCCCAAGGCGTTCCCGGACCAGATTGGAGATGTAACCTCTCCAACGTGTCCTGGGTCGACCCGGGGGCCTTCTGCCGGCAGGACATGCCCGAAACACCTCCCCGGGGAGGCGTCCAGGAGGCATCCTGACCAGATGCCCAAACCACCTCAACTGGCTCCTTTCGATCCGGAGGAGCAGCGGTTCTACTCCGAGTCCCTCCCGAATGTCCGAGCTCCTCACCCTATCTCTAAGGCTGAGCCCGGCCACCCTACGGAGGAAACTCATTTCGGCCGCTTGTATCCGCGATCTCGTTCTTTCGGTCATTACCCAAAGCTCATGACCATAGGTGAGGATTGGGACATAGATCGACCGGTAAATCGAGAGCCTGGCATTCTGGCTCAGCTCCCTCTTCCCCACGACAGACCGGCCCGGAGGGTTACCGGGGTCCCACCCTGGAGCCAGGCCTGGGGTTGGGGCCCGTGAGCGAGCGCCTGGTGGCCGGGCTTTCGCCCATGGGGCCTGGCCGGGCCCAGCCCGAACCGGATACATGGGCTCGTCCAACTGTGGACCCACCACCCGCAGGAGGAACATGAAGGGTCAGGTGCAATGCGAATCGGGTGGCAGACCAAGGCGGGAGCCTTGGCGGTCCAATCCCCGGACAAGAAAACTAGTGATGCGGACGCTGAGCCTTATTGTAAAGTATAAAACATATCAGTGTTTATTAATGACTCTTAAACATTTTTAAATGTAAAATGAAACTTTTTTAGTATGAAACTAGTTAACATTTATTTATAACCAGTAAACTTTTTGAAGACTAGGGGCCTTACTATGAAAAGTATAACAAGCTGCCTTATAACATTAGACAATACTCTATCTTAACATGTGCAGTTGTTTTGGTTACACTTAGAACACACAAAACCTTCTAAACAAAAATGACAAGAAAAATCTTTGTTGTGTGGAAACTGAACACATAACTGAACAGATCGTTAAAAAATTACCAGTTTCACACACATCTGTTCTATAGCTAAATATGCTGAAACAGAACAAGTCAGATAACTGAGTAGGCTTTCAGACAGACTTGCCTCTTCGAATTGGAAGCAAAGATCCATCAGCCTTCATGCTTTCTATTTTGTTTTTCACTTCATCATTGCTTTGAATCTCTTCCTCACATCGCTTAGCAAAATGGAGTACCATCTCTCCACTGGGCTTGTTGGAGATCAGCTCCTGGTAAACAAGAGGAGCTGCGATAGCGAGCTCAGCAACTGATGCCGTGGACACAACTGTGTTTCTGTCAATCCCATGCTTCTGAAAAGCTTTGGACAAGGTCTTCATCTTTGGAAATGTCTTGAGGAGGGACTTGTATCTCTGCACAATCTCACTTGGTGTTCGGACTGAGAATCAAATTAAAACAAAGAAAACTGTTAGAAACAAATGCTCATAGCACACAATACAATCTGTTACTATAATTTACACACACATGCATATACGTGTGTGTGTGTGTGTATGCATTTCTAAAAATGTGCATCAGTCCAAACCTTATATTCAAGTTTGGTGTCAAATACAATGTAGTTTGAAGAAAATATTTAAATGGTAATTTTATCTCCAAAGTACATAACTTCTAGCCTGGCCTGCCAGACTAGACTTCTGCACAGAGAGTCTGGTAACTCACAGGCAGAGAGGCACATGAGGGGCGGGATTAGCCAGCTCAAAAATGACCAATCAAAAAAAAAAAGGTGGAAATGCCAACTGTACCATGTGACACAGTAGTTTTTTAGCTGTAGTAAAAAATGGAGCCTGGTAATGGCGCAAACATCTTTCTTTAGAAGAAAGATTTTTAGCGGTTCTTGTTGTGGTTTCAAAGACATGTCCAAGTCATTTACAACAGAGGAAAGAGCCGCGGTGAACTCCGCTTCAGACATAATTGTTTATGAGAAATTGAGCTTCACTGTGTGTGTGACATACGCTGCTCAGTGATGATTGGTTTGGTTAGCATTTTCATTTGGGTGGGGTTATTTACATAGGAGAGTTACCAGACTCTTTCTCTGTGCAGAATTAAACAGAGGAGGACTCTGGCAGGCCAGGCTACATATCTTCTGAACATAAGTATTTTGCTCACCACACTGCCGGAACTTCTTTTCCTCCTTCTTGTATTTCTTGGCTTTTGAATGCTTGTTTTTGAATTTGCGCTTTTGCTTCTTTGGGGGTGAAGATGAGGATGAGGATGACCACTCAGATGATGCAGATGAAGATGTGGAAGATGAATCCAAGTTTTCAGAAGGATTGTTGATAAACGTATCATTTAATGGTTCGTCTTTAGGTTGCGCTGCAGAAAAAAATGGATGAATTTAGAATTTTTTTTAACACATATCAGGTAACACAGAGTGAAACAAACATGCAAAGTAGCTGCCAATTTCATTTCATTACACAATGGATGATTTTGTCAGCTTATGTGCTTTGACAGAATGAGAATGATGCACCCTTCTGAGTGAAATAATATACATGTGGCTGGGCAAATCTAATTTTTGTAGACTATAGAATAATAAAACAGTATAATGACTGAGTGTTGTTGTCCAATACAACATTAAATGTCAATAATTGGCAGTAATTACCTATTACCGTGGTGTTTAAAGGAGAAAAAGGGGAAAACTAAGTTGCTGGTACTAAGAGATAAAGTGGCACAACTACAAACCATCTAAATGAACACTTTGATGTCGAAATGTGTATTTTAAATTAATTATTAAAGTATGTAAATGAAAATGTATTTATTCGTGAGAGCACAGACAACTGTAAGAAAACAGATAATAAACAGATAATAGGTTATGGCATAATACATGCCAATTAATTAATCAATAGGTTTAAACCCAATTAGAACAAGTTATTTTTAAGAGTTAACTGGCATAACACCAAAGAGTAACTATTTTTTTATCAACACAGTGACAATAAGGGATCTTCATGTATATTTATAAATTATCTGATGTTTATCACAATAATCTAAAATTAAACAATGTTTATGAAACTAGTTTAATGTCATACTTGACAGAGATGATAGCTGACTTTGGAGGAAATCCCTCTCTCCTTCCAGTTCTTCAATTCTCATCTTTTGCCACTCCAGCTTCTCCTTAAGAAAAGCAACTTCCTGTCTCTCCTTATTAAGAAGCACAGTTGCAGTAGGGGCAAGGCCAGAAGAAGTATCTAAAAAAGACAATTTAGACACACATTAACAACAGTAGCAGAATCTCTAATCTAAACTAGGCAAACTAAATGACAGCAGAAACAAAAATATCTACTTTAAATGGTAACAATACAAATGTAAAAAATGTTCTGAGACAAACACCTGTTGTAGAGCAGACACTTCCAGAACAAAATAAATTATTCCTCCATGTTACCACACTGGGGTTATTCATAATGATATAAATGTATATACATTTACTAACTATTAAAAAATATAAAACTTTGTGAGGTTTCACTTTCGTAATAATTAATAGTACCAGAGATAGCTAGGCACTGTAGCACCCAAATGGTTCATTGTTAGCATTAAAACATTCCTCACCATCACGTTTCTCTGTTGACAGCGTTGGTTTAGTGTTAACGTTATCCAGTCACTGCTTTTTGTTTTTCTTTGAACGCGTGCTGACCGCAGGTGTCGCAGTGGAACAGGAATCTTTCTCTTCAGGTCCATCCATGGCGCTGCCGTAGCTAGCTAGCGTCAGTCCGTGTCGGTTTGACTGGTGGATCCACCTCAGCTCCGACGCACACCGATGGGAGGGACTTCCGTATTAAGATTCACTGTGATTGGATGTTTGCACTAAGCTCATCTCTGTATGGCTAATTTTCGTTTTATTCCCTTTGGCGCGACGATGGCTAGTTTTCATATGCAACCTAAAAATCCAGCGGGAAACGCTTCATAACTGAGTCCAATGCACTATAAGAGGTGAGCAAATTGTTTTATTTTTTGTATGCAGGGTTGTTCTTTTAATTATAAGTCAGTTTTAAATATTACTTTAGCTGATGAAGAAAAATCAGTTTTAAGAATGAAAATGTTTTGTGTAAATGTAGCATGTTTTGTATTAACTTAACTAAATATTCTTGTTCCTGTTGTGTTAGCCATTTTTACATTTTTCTTTGAAAATTATCAGCATTTACAAGTTCGCTTGCAGGGAAGAGTAGTCATAAATAATGATAATTAACATATTTATTAAAAACCCATTTATCTTTCTTTTTTTGGTCATTCTTAGTAAGTCAACATAATTATAAATTCAGGTTTTTATTTAGCAAGTGTTCCTTCCTGTTGAGCTGTGTATTGTAAAAAGAAAAAAAACAACACAAATAGATTGCAGAGGCAATACAGTTTGTAACTGTATGTGCTGTGTTTTTTAAGTAAGTAAAATAAACTGGAACTAGAAATGTTTATATCTTGATTTTTTTTGTGTGTTTGAATTTTTTGGTCAGATTAATGGTTTTACATTTTTCCTTGACTTTTCAAAGAATGCTTCGAGAATTATACAAAGACTTGATCTGTTGCTATATCAGTGACCTTTTTTTTACCTATGACATTCTGAAGATACCAGTATTTCAATGTAATAATATAATTAAATAAATCTATAATTTTTCCTACTAGAATGCCTCTTGGGATGAAGTTGCGCACTCATACAGAGGGAAAACAAACTAAAAAGAAGACTCTGAGGCTGATTAAATAGCTGCAAAAGAAACACCTTCTAAAGAAGAAACTGAGATGCCCTGTTTGCCACCATAAGATGAAAATGATATCTGTGGTGAAGAAAGACCAATTTATGTGGTATGAATGCATGATAATGTAGAACATTTAACATCACATTCTGATATTAAAGGCAGGGTGCGTAAGTTGGAATTGTTAAAATAATTTTGACCATCTGACCTTGTTCTATGAGAAAAAGTGTGATCTTTCATATTTTATTTTTCTCCTAAGTCCCTCCCCTGGCTTTACTAAACTAATAATTTCTGCAAGCCTACCACATTGGCCAATAGCACTACATTTCAGATGTTCTCTCACTTGACTCGGCTTTCCCTGCATGTGCACGTTAGGAGGCGTGGCTTTCGGCTCATTCAGGAAGGTCGGGGATAGAGCAACAGCCCTTCAAATTTTAAAAGCAAGACACAGTGGTAACTTTATCTCAATATTTATTTATTTTTTAATATAATTTTGTGATAATGTTTATAGGTTCATTTATTTACCTCACTTTTTGGTTTGTTCTCAGGTGCTGCAAAAGAGCAAGTCATAGAAAAGTCTCCAGAACAATTAGAACTGGCTCCCTCTTTGAGAAATCAAAATTTTCTCTTTTCAGTTGGATGAAGTTCATCTACAGGTAGCCTGTGTGTATGAATGTCAACAGGAATAGCAGTTAATAATAGGGCCTCAGTGAGTTTTGATTGGTTTTCATTTCTGTCGCAGATTTTCACAAGGGCTCAGGCTTGATGATGATGTGGCTGGCAGCTCCAAAACATTAAGTGCCATGGCAAAGCGTATTCGACAAGTCTGCTTCAGTGCAATGGAAAGACACGGAGTAAATAAAGGGCACTGTCTTGGTGGTCACAAAGAATTTGTGGTTATGGATGAAAGCTGTCTCCGTCATCAGCGAAAGGTTGTAAACTCTCAGACCCCTTTGTTATTATCAGTCCAGATCTGAACATGTCCCCTAAACATATAAGTTTTAAGTTTTTACCATTACATTTAAGAATCAATATAGTAAAACTGTTACAACCAAACAAAAACAATCTGTTAATAAACATTATTATATCAATTACTATGATGATTTGAATCACTTGAGTCAGAATTTAACTAAATTAAAGTTTGTAAAAGTAGTCAATTAATCCATAAAGGAAATGAATGACAGAAAACAGCTTTTTTATTCAACATCTTTGTCATGCTGTTAATAAAGTTAAAATACAATTTACTTTAATAACAGCAATACAATTAAAATGTTAAGATGCAAACTGCATTTAAGAACATACTTTGTAAATATTCTGTTTAACCTTAATCTTTTTTTTTTTCAGTATGCACGTGGACGCTTCGGAAATGCTTGGAAAAGAAAGAAATGGGTCTTTGGACTGATGGGAGTGAAAGACAAAAGGCGAAGGCTCGTGTTAAAACTTGTAGAGAAACGAACAAGGCGTCACCTTGTTCCTCTGATCAGACAGCATGTTAAGTCAGGTAGTGCCATTATCAGTGATGAGTGGAGAGCCTACAAGAATGTCTTGACAAACATGGGGTACAAACATTACACAGTAAATCACAGCAGGTGGTTTGTTGATCCTCACTCGGGCAGTCATACACAACATATTGAAAGAGCTTGGATGACAATTAAAGGACATATTCGCAGACTAAGAGGAAATCGTACAGAGATGTTGTTGGAGGAACATCTTAAAGTTCTCGAATGGTCATCTTGGCTTGGTTCAAAACATCCTGATGGACCACTGGGACGCTTATTCAAGGACATATGGAAATCATTCCCAGTTTAACCTGAATCTCTTCTACAACAGTTTTTTTTAGGGAGGGTGTATTTGGTGTGTTTGATGAGTTTGGATGTTAAATGTGCTACACTTACAATACATGACCATTTTTGACAGTAGTTAACATGGTTTGTACAAATATTTTAAGCATTTAGTGTAACTCTGAAGTTTAACAAATTTGAACATTTAAGACTAATTTTTGGTATTTATAAATGTTTATTAGTCATTAATAAATAAAGATATGTTTTATACTTTACAATAAGGCTCCAGTTTGTATTTATAAATGTTTATTAATCATTAATAAATAAAAACATGTTTTACACTTTATAATAAGGCTCCAGTTTGTATTTACAAATGTTTATTAATCATTAATAAATAAAAACATGCTTTGCACTTCATAATAAGGCTCCCTTTTGTATTTATAAATGTTTATTAATCATTAATAAATAAAGACATGTTTTACACTTTACAATAAGGCTCCAGTTTGTATTTATAAATGTTTATTGATCATTAATAATCATTAATAAATAAAGACATGTTTTACACTTTATAATAAGGCTCCAGTTTGTATTTATAAATGTTAATTAATCATTAATAAATAAAGACATGTTTTACACTTTACAATAGCGCTCCCTTTAATCATTGTAAGTATTTATAATGCAGTTATAAGGTATCTTAGGTGTGTTCTTGCTGTGTCTTTGTAAATCCATGCTTTCGTTCTTTTTTAAACACAGAAACAGTTTTGTTTACCTGTTTGTAGCTACGGTTTCGCCGACAGCTGCCGGCTTCTTCAGGCTGACGATGATGGTGGCGCGTCACTTCCTTCTCCGTTTATCTGCGGGCAGCAGAGGACGTTGTCGCCCTCTACTGCCCGCTCTCCCCTCTCCGACGATGCAGTCCCATGCGTGGTCCAGCGTGTAAACTCCGTCGTCCCTGTTCATGGTCCCACATCCACGTCTCCTTATCTCTATTGCTTCCTTGATCCATCTTTTGTATTTTTGTTGTTCAGTGGTTATGATCCGTGTGCTGTCCCAGTCCATTATATGGTTTTCTCGGCTGACTTTTTTATTGTACTTTCTGCTTCTTCTTTTGCTGCTCTTGTGTGTTTACGATTTGCCTCTTTCTCGCACTCCTTTCTGTGTTCTATTGTCCGTGTATTGAGTTGGCGTCCGGTTTCTCCTATGTATGTTTTATTGCATATTTTGCATGGGATTTCGTAGATGACTCCACATTTTTGTCCAGCTGATATTTTGTCTCTTGGGTGTACTAATCTGTTTCTAACTGTTGTGTATGGCGTAAACACACAAGAGCAGCAAAAGAAGAAGCAGAAAGTACAATAAAAAAGTCAGCCGTAACAGATCATTGCTTAAGAGAAAACCATATAATGGACTGGGACAGCACACGGATCATAACCACTGAACAACAAAAATACAAAAGATGGATCAAGGAAGCAATAGAGATAAGGAGACGTGGATGTGGGACCATGAACAGGGACGACGGAGTTTACACGCTGGACCACGCATGGGACTGCATCGTCGGAGAGGGGAGAGCGGGCAGTAGAGGGCGACAACGTCCTCTGCTGCCCGCAGATAAACGGAGAAGGAAGTGACGCGCCACCATCAGCGTCAGCCTGAAGAAGCCGGCAGCTGTCGGCGAAACCGTAGCTACAAACAGGTAAACAAAACTGTTTCTGTGTTTAAAAAAGAACGAAAGCATGGAGTTATAAGGTACATTAATTATTTGCCCAAAACTGTGTTTACAAATGCTAATAGTGCTTAAAAGATAGGTCCTTAGTTTGAAATGTTTAATATATGAAGTCTAGATAAAGTACATAAGTCAACAGATTTGGTTCACTATTTGGCAAAAAACTAGTAGGTTTAGTCTCTTTCTCACCCTTAATTAATGCATAATAAACATTAATTAGTCCTATATAAGGCATTATAGATTGATTAATAATACATTTATAAACCATTTATTAGCCATTTATAAGGGAGCCTTATTGTAAAGTGGTACCAAAAACTCTATAAAATCGTAAGCGCGACGCTATTAGATAGGCGGGGGTAGACTCGCGCTGCTGCGAACCGGTTCCGCCGTCACATTCCCGCAGAAACTGGTTGATCACACCGGGGCCAGACCACTAACATGTGGCTTTACAACCACAATGTCCTCGGAAGCGAAAATGCATTTAAAAGGGAGGGAGGAGTCCTAACTGTTGCTGCAGGCGTGTTGTGTGTGAGTGCAGTTATATACTGGTTAATATATTTTTGGGTTCAGTTGCTTTCATGTGGCCTAATGTGAGTCTATTTGGGATCATTGGAATGATCAGCAGCATTTCTTGATATGACTTTATGGCAGTTGCCCAGGGCATCATCACAAGGAGGATGGCATTCATTTACTTTTGTTTTATTTGGTATTTTTTCAGTCATTTTTGGAAATAGTGATTAATTTTGATTAATTCACAGCCTATGTTTAATTACACTGAAAAATTTGTTATTTGACATCCCAAATTATAATAAATGTCTACAGATGAGATCAAACAAAACAGATGAGAATTGCCCTTAAAGAGCAAGTCACCCCCAGATAAACTTTTTTTTGCTGATAAACTAAATAAATGAGTGTCTAATCGTGCTGCAGACACGTGTCGTCAATAATTTGGCACTTCAGTGCATCTTAGTTAAAATTTAAATATTCTGCCTAAAACTGGCAGTGTTGTGCCGTTGTCAGGTAAAAACTCTGCACTGTATTTTAATTTAAATCTGCCACCGCTATTGGCTACGAATTATGCTATGATGTAAACTGGTACATTAAGATGTCACAATGCTGTCGTGAGCCTGAGTGTGTGTGTGTATTTGTTAGCGGCTCCGCCCTCTCGGTCTGCCAGGCAACAGCAATGTGTTGCATTTTTCAAACATGAAGTGGGAGTGGAGTTAGACTCCGGTAGGGGTTGACTTGCTCTTTAAGCTGTTTAACTTGGACCAAGCATTTTAGGTCACAGTTAGGTGTAGCTTAGGGTCTCTGTCTATACACCTTATAAGACAATGTAGGTGATGGCATGTTGTTTTTCTGCTATTGAACTGTTTTCTAATAATGTTGTGTTTAATAAAGTGAAGGAAGGAGAGACATAACGTTTCCCTAGCAGTTTTTAAAAATGTCCCTATGTAATCCGATTCATCGATTAATCGTGTCGAGACCCCATCCGATTCATCGATTATCCAAATAATCATTTGTTGCAGCCCTATCGACCACCTAGTTGTTGTGCAGATTTAAAGCTGGATCATTTCCTTTTCCATTACCTGTTTAAATGTACTTTATTGTATGGTGTCCATAAGGGAAACAGCTGAATTACTGTGGTGAATCATAATTGTGGTCAATAATCGAATACTAAACTTTAGGTGTTTTTAAATGAGGTTCTATTTGGCAATGCACAATCTGAAATCTGTACAGATATTTTGTGAATGTTAGAAAACCTGTTGCTTTTAGATTAAACTGAGTTTTAATATTGCCAAGGATCATTTCACTGACTTGAAAATGAAAAATCTAAAGGTGTAAATTCTAGTTTACAAATGTTGGTTGAGTGCCTGTTTGCAAAAATAGAAATGTAAATCTTATATTTACTTATTTTAATCAAGGTTTCCTGAGACTGAAATGGTATGTTTTGATCTTGATGCTAACATTGAAAATTAATGGAAGATTCACATGTTGAGCTAATCAGTCACATGAAGGCTGCAGCCTTTCCGTGTCCTCCTCATGCCTGCATGTGTGAATGGGTTTTCCCCAGGTACTCGGTCTTCCTCCCAAAGGCCAAAACATCCTTGTTTAGGTTACTTCATACATTGTCCACAATCCTAAGTTGCTTTGGATAAAGGCTTCTGTTAAATAAATGAACCTAAATTTCTCCTCCAGCTCCAGCTGATTATTTCAGCCCAGCAGCAAACATGCAAACACACAGTCCCTCACTTCACAAGCAGCTGAACTCAGGAGCCAGCTGGAATTTGGAGAACTGTTCTGGCTGATGTCACAGATTGTTGTTTGAATTATTAAAATATTTGTTGTTAAAATCATTTTAATGCATCTTAATCTGTTATTTTACAAGTCTAGTAATCTAGATGTGTGCTTTTTAAACCTATAGTGAGGTTTAGTTAGTTTCATAACAAAGAAAATTGATCAAGTGCGTGCTAGGAAAGTCACAAGCGTTGCTCGTGGTTAAGTTCTTGTAACAAGTTGAATTGTTCTTGTTGTTTTCCTGCTTAGTCTCTGCGTAAAGTGGGTCAGGACTCCACGGTGCTCCTCATCTGCATCACAGTGTTTCTCTCCTACCTCCCTGAGGCCGGACAGTACTCCAGCTTCTTCCTTTATCTCAGACAGGTAACACTTTGCATTTTCTCGTCACACATTTCCAGAAACAAACAAATACATCGCCCTTAGAAATGAGGTCCAGGTGCATTGTATACACAAAGCAGGTCACATGACCCACTGAAATACAGACTCTTCTAGACCTCACAGTGTGCTGGATATCTGGCACCTGATCCTTAAACTCCTGTAACATGGGTCCTCTATGCGTCCGTCTTGTTTGTCCAGGACTTTTAACAGATCGTCTATAGTCAACATCTCAAACTGAATCTGAAGCATCATCACTAAATGACAAGGTGCATCCTCTTGATAAAAGACCTCACTGCAATGAAGAATTTGTTTGTATAGATTAAAAACAAACACCTTAACGTGCACGAATCAAATAGAAAATGAGTTAAACAACAAGGCCGTGTTTGTGGCTGGTTTGTGTGTTTTTGTCATGCACTCATGTCTAAGTTGTTGAAAAAAGTTCTTTGAATAAAGCACAAGTAGAATGGGTTTTGTGTGCTGCAGCAGCAGCTGGAAGCTAGCCTAATGAACTAGAACAAATTCTTGCTTGCAAAGTTTATCATATTATTAATGATAATAATAAATATTATAATTAAAAAATATATATGTATATATTTAAAATATATATCTGGCTTGCCAGGCTAGCTGGAAGCAGCTTTGAGATGAACTGGAGTGGTGTGGTGGTATCTTTTTGAACTGATGATTGATTTTATCAGATCAACCAGTTCAGCTGGTCTGTTCTCTAATATCTTCTACAGGTGCTGGCCAGTAAATTAGAATATCATCAAAAGGTTGAAAATATTTCAGTAATTCCATTCAAAACGTGAAACTTGTACATTATATTCATGCAATGCACACAGACCAATGTATTTCCGATGTTTATTACGTTTAATTTTGATATTTATAGGTGACAACCAATGAAAACATCAAATCTGGTATCTCAGAAAATTAGAATATTCTAAAGGCCAATGAAAAAATGTTTGTTTCTCTAATGTTGGCCAACTGAAAAGAATGAACATGAAAAGAATGTGCATGTATAGCACTCAATACTTAGTCGGGGCTCCTTTTGCCTCAATAACTGCAGTAATGCGGCGTGGCATGGACTCGATCAGTCTGTGGCACTGCTCAGGTGTTATGAGAGCCCAGGTTGCTCTGATAGTCGTCTTCAGCTCCTCTGCATTGTTGGGTCTAGCGTATTGCATCCTCCGCTTCACAATACCCCATAGATTTTCTATGGGGTTAAGGTCAGGCGAGTTTGCTGGCCAATCAAGGACAGGGATACCATGGTCCTTGAACCAGGTGTTGGTGGTTTTGGCACTGTGTGCAGGTGCCAAGTCCTGTTGAAAGGTGAAGTCTGCATCCCCATAAAGTTGGTCAGCAGCAGGAAGCATGAAGTGCTCTAAAACTTCCTGGTAGACGGCTGCATTGACCCTGGACCTCAGGAAACAGAGTGGGCCAACACCGGCAGATGACATGGCACCCCACACCATCACTGACGGTGGAAACTTTACACTGGACCTCATGCAACGTGGATTCTGTGCTTCTCCGCTCTTCCTCCAGACTCTGGGTCCTTGATTTCCAAAGGAAATGCAGAACTTGCTTTCATCAGAAAACATAACTTTGGACCACTCAGCATCAGTCCAGTCCTTTTTGTCCTTGGCCCAGGCGAGACGCTTCTTGCGCTGTTTCTTGTTCAACAGTGGCTTGACACACGGAATGCGACACCTGAATCCCATGTCTTTCATGAGTCTCCTCGTGGTGGTTCCTGAAGCGCTGACTCCAGCTGCAGTCCACTCTTTGTGGATCTCCCCCACATTTTTGAATGGGTTTGTCGTCACAATTCTCTGCAGGGTGCGGTTATCCCTAGAGCTTGTACACTTTTTTCTACCACATTTTTTCCGTCCCTTCGCCTGTCTGTTAATGTGCTTGGACACAGAGCTCTGCGAACAGCCAGCTTCTTTAGCAATCACCTTTTGTGTCTTGCCCTCCTTGTGCAAGGTGTCAATGATTGTCTTTTGGACAGCTGTTAAGTCAGAAGTCTTCCCCATGATTGTGGTGCCTTCAAAACAAGACTGAGGGACCTTTTAAAGGCCTTTGCAGGTGTTTTGAGTAAATCAGCTGATTAGAGTGGCAGCAGGTGTCTTCTATATTCAGCCTTTTCAGAATATTCTAATTTTTTGAGATACCAAATTTGGAGTTTTCATTAGTTGTCACTTATGAATATCAAATTTAAATGTAATGAACATTGGAAATACATTGGTCTGTGTGCATTGCATGAATATAATGTACAAGTTTCACGTTTTGAATGGAATTACTGAAATATATTCAACCTTTTGATGATATTCTAATTTACTGGCCAGCACCTGTACTATCTAAGTGAAAAAACAATGCTGTAACTCTACTCGCCACACCTTGTATTCCCATTTCGCTCCTTCGCATCTAATTTAGTGGGGGGGGGGGGGGGGGGGGTTTCATGTCCTAACACGTCTTTTCTGAATGCTCTTCAGGTCATACGCTTCTCCTCTGAGACGGTGGCTGCCTTTATAGCAGTATTAGGAATCCTCTCAATATTGGCACAGGTACCTGATTATATTCTCATTTCAAACCTGTGTGTAAATGGATTTCAGCTCCCATTCAGTCCAATATTAGGAGTGATGTGAGTACAGTTCTGTGTCTTATTGTCTGCTAACAACATTTTCTTATGTTTTCTTAGACTGTTGTTTTGGGCATTCTGATGCGTTCAATAGGAAATAAAAACACAATCCTTCTCGGCCTTGGCTTCCAGATCCTCCAGCTAGCCTGGTATGGCTTTGGCTCTCAGCCCTGGTAAGTGGATCTCACAAGTGTCCCTGCCCGGTTTCCATGCACTAATGTGAGATTTAAAATTTTCTACATGTGGGAACTTGGTTTTAATTTAAAATAAATCTAATTAGAGATGTTTCCACTGAGTAACTCCTGGATTCCTGCCTGTTTTTTCTTTTTTCTTGATAAAACAAAGTCTGTCCTGATTAACTATTGAATTGCAGACTTATAATGCTTCAGGGTCTTTGTCAAAAACTGAGCAGGGTTGGGCAAGCTGTGGGGCGATTTAGTCTAGCTTGCCAGGCTAGGTTACTGTAGCATTTCACCAGCCAATCAGAACGGGTATCAAAATATGTACTTTACGCTGCTGGCCATCTGTCAAAATAAAAGTCTACACGACATGTCTATAACAGACCTTTTTGAGTACCACATGCTCTGCTTTTTTTTATTTATTTTTTTTTATACAGACTTTTGCAACTCTGTTGGTTTCCATGCTGTAATTTCCCCATTTACTGGCTGGAAATATCTTCTTGAATAGTTCAAAGTATCGTGTATTTTAATATTAGACAGTGAAACTCAAAAGTTGCAGTTGCTCACCCTGTATAACGTGTGTGCTTATACAAGCTGATACTATGTTTTAAGGACTCTACTATTAGTTTTAAATAATCTAGTTAAGGTCTGAAGATTTTGAGCTCAGACAATTCTAATGGTTCTTTTTTGCTTTTTGTAATAATTTAATCTCTTGTTCTTGTTAAATAAATAAATAAATATTCACATCGACAAGCCATCTCTGAGGTGATCCATAAGCAGGGTTGGTACACATAACTTCAACAACTGACTTAGCTCCTATTTCAAATTTTGATTTGCACAAACCAGATGTTTTCACACACGGAGGCTGCAGTAGTGTTGTGTGTGAGCAGAGCGCACCATGGAAGCGAGCTTGTAATGATCGTGCATATTTTTTGCCGCTAGTGCGGAGTGGTATGAGAAACGTGCTTCAACAGAACTGACCAGAATACTGGCGTAACATCGGTGCAAAGATGTGCAGGTTTTCAATAGCAGCAAGAGAGGGAGGGATACAGCGAGAAACATGGAGGGACCGGACTGATGGTAAAGCTTTTTAACTAAACTTTGGTAAAGCGTGGGGGGGTTTTAACCTCCTCATTAGAAAAAGTCCCCCACAGGTGTGAGCCGGTCCAGTCCACTGACACACACACACACACACGCACACACACACACACAGAGAGAGCCTTTTTAGGGAACCGATGGATGGATGGAGGGAGAGGGAGAGAGAGAGGCGGCGGGCAGGACGTAGGATCGGGGGTGTCACTCTATAGGTTAGGCAGAATTGCTTTTCTCCACTTATCTAAGATGATTGGCTTAAACTTCTTCACCACATTGCTGAGTAGTGTTGTCAGACATGAGTACCAGACGTGCGCATTTGCTACAGAACTCGCGTGTCTACAACTTTTTGTGTAGTTTAGAGGGGTGAGTCGTACCAGCGTAATTAGATGCTAAATTGAGTACATGCTACGCAAAATGCATACAGGTTGGCAGGTCTGCCATAATGCTGGGATCACACTGAGATTTTTGCCTGTCGTACAGGATTGTTTGTCACACTGTGAGAACTTCAGAAAGATGTCACACTGTACGGTGCAAGATTTCTGTGAGTCAGACTGCAAGAGGTCTCGCTCCAGCAAGACACGCTACATCATGAGCGCACCTCCGGAAAGCATACGTCACTAAGCAGAGTGCAAACCAAAACAAAGCTGAAAAGATTTGAAAAAGTGCTGCTGTTAACACTTCTTTTTAGTCTGTTCATGGCCAAGCTCATCTTCCTCAAAGAGGAAGGAAAGTTTTCAAAACGCTTTGGCGTCAGACTCCTTTTCTCATCTTCCAGCTAACAGCTGATCTGTCTTCTGGACACTCATCCTTCTCATCCTGTATACACAAAAAACCCACTAAACTACAGAGAAGTAACAATCTGTCACAGATCGCTCCAATGTCTAAACGTTTGCCGTGAATTCTGTCTCACTTTTGTTTACCCTGCACCTCTGTGACTTCTCCTCGTTCCTGCTGTCATGGAGCCATCGACAAATATACTGGACAATTCGTTTCCATAGGCTCCAATAATAAGTTTTTAAGCCAAAATGGGAGGTGGCCACTACCGCCATTTTGACCGTGTCACAGGTTCCGTCAAGCCCAGACAATTCCACAAAAGGGAAGAGAGGTGGAGCTGAGGATGGGGCTGTAAGGTTGGGATCAAATGACGACACCCGCCGAACTGAAGCGATGTAGCTACAAGCTAACCCAAAGCTAATGCAGCGGTGGGAGCTAAGGAGGTAGCTACGTAGCTACAACCGGAGTTAACTGTGCACAACACAGGAGCTTCTGAGTCAGAGATACGCCGGGCTGACTGCTGGGTAAAACCGGGTGGAACACAGAGGTCTCCGGAAAGCTCCACAAACCGGCAGCCGCACAGCAGACAAACGCTGCTGCGATCAGAAATGCGCCAAGCTGCCGCTGGGGAGAACCGGGTAGAAAACATTGCTTTCCATCCGAGAGCTCCACAAGCCGGCAACCCGCGCAGCAAACAGGCGCCGCGATCAGAGATGTGCCGAGCTGCCGCTGAAGGGAGGGAGTCCATACCGATAGTCGGAACCCAGCTCCACCAACAAGTTATATTCCAACCCATTTTCTAAAGTGCAGCATTATGTTAAATGCACTGGGTTTTACCCTATTACATTTAAATTTCATGGTTAAACAGTACATGTTAAAATCTAAGCTCAGCTCGGCAGTGACCTAAAATACATAAATATAATTTTACTTACCGAAAAAAATGAAGTGGAGACTCCTTGGACTCTCTATTAGTGCAATTAATGCCACAGCAAGTCATTTTGTCCAACAATTGCACAAATAATATCCAAAAAGAACGCACAAACGGCACAACTAATGGTCTAAGTTGATAGACTGAAAATCGCGGAACAGTTTTCAGGCGAGGCCGAGGCTCAGACTGAGGCCTTTCCACGGAGCTAGCTCTGTGGTCACGTGGGTCTGATGCTCATTAATTATACAGAATTTTAGGCTTTTAATACACTTAAACAGAAGAGTGAGAAAAAAATTCACCCCCCTCAGAGTTGTCATGAGTATAAACTAGATCATTTAAACCAAAAACATGTTCTGGTACCAGGCTGTAAACATGTTTATTTCTGCTGTGAAATTGGTATTTTTAACATGGGAGTCAATGAGGATTTGCTCGCTTCTGACATGAGCCCCCAGCGGATGAGGGTGGAACTGCAATTTTTTTTACTTCTATGTTGGCTTCAATTTCAGACCCGAATTATGGGAGCTTGCATGGAGCGAAGCTTCCTCTATCCCTCTGCAACAAAATGCTACTGAACCTAACCCTAACCTACTTATTGGATGAATATGTGAGATTTCCACCATCAGCAAAGGATGTTTTAAACAATGTTAATCTATTCCTACTTATGACACAATTTTTAAAATGAAATTTTAACAAATTATAAAAAAATATCGTAAGTTTTCTTATTTTGAAGGTTTTTTTAAATAATCAAAATTATCACTATCTTATTTTGAAATATGGATTGAGACCGGGTGTGAAGTAACAATTCAGGAGTGAAAAAGAAGAAGGAGATGTTTCTGTTTTTGAAGGTGATGTTCTTGTTTACAAACTAAAATGCCCCTTTTAGCTGCTGGCTGGATGATATTGCAAAAACCAGACTCGGGATGCTGGTCTTGTAGTTCATGCTGGTCATTACATGGACTCACCACTGGAGGGCAACATATACTTAAAGGAAGATTTTTGGACTCCTCAAAGATAGCAGTGTCTAAAAAGTCTTATTTTATTAAAAGCATCTGTTTTTATCCCTTTTATTAAAAGCATCTGTTTTTATCCCTGTAAAAAGTTGCATCCTTAAATATGTGATTATGAAAAAAGGCAAATCAGTTATATATATATATATATATATATATATATATATATATATATATATATATATATATATATATATATATATATATATATGCGTATATTGATTTCTGAAAGAAAACATTTACAACATGACTCCTGGGCTTTGATCAATTCGCCTGAAATCAAGTTAAATAAAGGTCACATTTGGTAATTGTTTTATATATGGTTGGGACAATGCTCCCTCTTCTCAAAGCATAATAAACACTGTCCCAAAGTCACTACAGTAAAAATGACTCATGTCAATTATCTTGATAAAATGAAAACACTTACTATTTTTTTGACATTTTTATGAATGAATGTGAACTTTTTGATCTCTAACTTTTACTTCTCCTCAAAGGCCGTGTTGAAAAAAGTAAAATTCCCTAAAACAGGTTGTATTTGTTTGCAGGATGATGTGGGCAGCTGGAGCTGTTGCTGCCATGTCCAGCATCACCTTCCCTGCTATTAGCGCCATTGTGTCCCGTAACGCAGACCCCGATCAGCAAGGTACGTTTTATGACCTGTTGCTCTCCTTGTTTTTGACTATTTTATTCTGTAAGAAGCTTGTTTGGTTTAGATTTGTGTTTGTTTAATTTGCATATTTTCTCACTTAAGATTCTGATGCGTTTAATGTTTAATTAAAATCTTAAGGGATTCTGAAAATCATCACTTTTTTCTGTAAGCTGGTTACTCTGACTCATGAATATTCCAAATGTTTTTAAAAGTTGCTGCTTTCAGAAAAACAACCCAGTTTAGGTTACGTTGAGTGTTTAGCCTTGCGTACACGAACACACTCTCTGTTTGTGTACTAGAGTTGTTTTGTATTTTGTGTGTCGTAGGCGTCGTCCAGGGGATGATCACTGGCATCCGGGGGCTCTGTAGCGGTTTGGGACCTGCCCTTTATGGTTTTGTCTTCTATTTATTCCACGTCGAGTTGTCTGACCCAGACAGCCCTGAGAAAGGTCCCAAGTCTCCTCAGAGTTTAGCCAACCCTACTGATGAGGTGAGCCTATAGTTGGAAAAGGTGTATTTTCACATATTGAATAGCTGAACATTAACCTGTTCTTTTTAATCTCTTCAGAGTGCCATCATCCCAGGTCCTCCTTTCCTTTTCGGTGCATGCTCAGTGCTGCTGTCTCTGCTAGTGGCCCTGTTCATCCCCGAGCACATCGGGCCTGGTTTGAGGCCCGGCGCCTATAAGAAGCACAGCAATGGGGCACAGAGTCATTCTCACAGCCCCCAGGGCAGCGGGGCAGAGGGAAAGGAGCCGCTGCTGGAGGATAGTAGTGTATAACCTCAGCTAAGGGAGGCAGACTCCCTCGGTTTACCCCAAAAAGACCCTCCACACATGGACAAATACACACATTTTACCACATGGACACCTCAGGCACACATCTTACGAAAGTGCCATGAAGACGAGATGGTGATTGTGTGGATGCGTCTACAGCACAAAAGTGGGTGCTCCATCCTTTGCAGCCTTTTGTTTTTCAAAACAGGGTTTTGTGTGAACTCTCTAAAGATCCTGTATGAAGAGGCTGTGTTTCATATTTTCTTTTAGGCTGCAGTTAAATAGGTGTATGAGAGGGACACACACACACACACACACACAATGCTTTATTGGATTCTAGTTTTTGGTGATAATGAGTGGGAGGGGGTGCACCAGCTCACCTCCCCTGATTCAGAGTGCAAGTGGGGTTTATCTCAAATGTTACTAAATACCTGTGTGAGTCTTTATCGATCCTACAAAAGTCAAGTGGCTACTTCGTCCAACTGGAGCGTAACAAACAGGCGAGCACTTGCTAACTTTGCTCTGAAGCTGGCGGTTGAGACTACAGATCCCATCCGAGGGAGGAAACCCAGTTCTAACGCTGTGACCACATCAGGAAAGCACAGCACCTCTAAACTTGAGAGGAGAGTTGGAAGAGCTGCTACCTAATCTCAGCCTGGATGCTCAAACGGTTCAGATACAATAGGCTTTGTTAGGACCACAGCTTGTTAGAATGGCACACTTCTTACATAAGAGAGAAGTGCAGGAAAGAGACCACTTTATTAGCTGAACAGTTGTTTATTTCAATGTTTACTTGCGATTCTCTAGATTCGTAGTACTGTTTGGGTTGTATATTTTTTTCTGTTCAAACTGAAAGCTAGTTGTGCTTCAAGTTTTTATTCACGAAACAAATGTTGCCTTGAAGTTCCATTGCATAACCTGTATGAAGACCAAGGTCTGAGAAGGCTCTGTAATCTTACCCTATTGCTCCCATCGGAGCCATCAGACACTTTTTATTCCTTCGTTTATGCCCTTCATGTTGCTGTTTCCTGGCATTTATCACCATCAGAGTTGAGGCTCACAGAACCACAGTTTTTTTCTTTTAAAGCCTCTGGGCCATTTGGAGCTAGAGCGTTGCCATCAGCAGGTCGGGTTGAATAATTGTCTTTAGGTTCAAGAGAATATCAGTAATCGTGTAATGGATGAAATTTTTTGTAGCTCATTAGATAAAGACCATTACGATTTTATGTGATCCCTGATGTTTGAGTAGCAACAGATGGTTGTGGCCCATTTTGTCAAACCGAACAGCATGTAGCACCTAATGGATCTTTTGGAATAAATACAATAACTGAGTAACGAAACTGCAGTAGAGGCAGATGCAGCAGGTCAACAGCACCCTCCTCCATGCTGTATCGCCATATCGGTACAGAAAAGACGGCTTTAAAGCAGGCCTTTTGTGCTTTTTATTCAGTTAGA